GGCCGGCGCCGCCCGGCGTCCTGGGCCGCGCCGGCGCGGCCGGGGCGCGCCTGCGACGCCAACCCTACAGCCGGCCGGCGGCGGGCCGGCCCTGCCTGCCCTTCGCACTTGCGGCTTATTTGCTTCGAGCTGTTGCGTTGCTGTTGTTTACTCATGAATCTGATGTGTTGGTGGGAAGCCGTCCGTGCGCGTTTGTGGGCGTGCCCGCAGCGGCCGGGGCCGCAACGTCTACCAACGGCGGCCGCGGCCGGCCCCAAAAGATGGCCGCGCCGCCTCGGCACCCCAAAATGTTGCGGCACCCCGCCGTGCCGCGGCGGCCGCCCATGCGCCCGGCCGCCGCCCTCACCCGGGCTTTGCTTTGTCGCCCCTTTCAAATCGTGGCCTGGATTGCGGTTGTATTGGCGCTCGCGGGCGCTTGCAGAGCTGTTTGTGATTCTGATTCGATAAACCGCCACGTGCGCAGCGGGCTCGCGCGGCCGGCCCTCCGTGCCTTGCATACCTGGAGAGACTCCCTATCCAAGACCTTAGCCCGCCCCACATGCCACCCGCTGTGAATTCTAGAAGTGTCGCGGCCGCGGGCCCCGACAGACCACTGCCCAGCGCGCCGGGGCCGGGCGCAGGCCGCTCGGCGGCCGGGTCCTGGCGGCAGCGAGCGCGCGCGCTTGCTTCGCTCCGGCCGCACCGCATACCCTGTCTGGATTTGTGCCGCTCTTTTTTGGCCCTGAAAGGAGGGGCCGAATTTCCACCATGCACATACATACGACAGCGCAGCACCCCGAGTGACCCGCAACGGCGCGTCAGTCCGGGCCCACCCAGCCGCCGGACGCCCCTCGGGGCTGCTCGTGGCTGGCGCCTCAAAGCGCCATACATGCCAGCGTGACCCCGGCTTAGTCGCATGCGTCTGCCCCTGACCCGTGCCGCGCATGCCCGCTGCATGGCGTGCGCCCAAGGCCCGCCCCTTGGGTAACCTGTACAAGTTTTGACGCGCTGCCGCCAGCAATCGAAAGCGCATCACAGCTGGTGTCACCATCTCGGTCTGGGGTCAGGCCAGGCGGCCAAGCGTGCACCGCAGGGGTGGCCTGCAGGGTTGAGAGGTGGCAGCAAGCGGAGTGTGCCGCCGCCGCTGATGGCGTCAGCAACAGACGGGATTCTTGGTAGGCGAGGGTGATTGCCTATTGGTGACGTTTCTGGCAGGATCCTGGCCCTGTGGCCGGAGTTGCTCCACCAGGGCACACGGCTTGCGCGTCGCTCCACACGCCAACATGCGGAGCGACACAGGTGCTGCGAAGCTGCGAAGCACCAGCAGCAGCAACAACGAACCCACGAGCAGCAGGGCTGGCGGCAGGGACTGTTGCTGCGGCAGCAAAACAACCGGCGCTGCTGCCAATGAGGCAGCCAAGCAGCGCCAGGGGGGGAGCTGGCCATCCACCACGGGTACAGGCTGGATTTAGCTGCAAAAGCGGGACACCCCCCCCCCCCTCGCCCTGCGCCGCAGCGGCTTTGTATTGCAACTGGCGGCCCGACGTGCCTGCCCATCATCAGTGAGTGAACTTTCTTTACAGCAGATGGGAGTGGGCGGGGCGCAGGCTCGCGCGCAGCGGTGCGGCGGTGTCCGTGAGGCGTTACATGAATGTTCAAGGCGGGGTTATACATGTAGCGAATTTGGCACGCCGCACCAAGAAACAAACGCGCCGCGCGGCCCCGTCGCGTCTCACAGCGCGTTTTTTGCACGGTAATACAAAGCAGACGCGCGCGCACGGCCTGGCCGCGCGGCGCGGTGCATGTCGTGTCGTCGCGTGCCAAGCTTCGACGCCGCAAGCTAAGACTTGCGTCTCAAAGCTAGCCCATATTATCAACAGTAAATCTACACATGTACTGCCTGGTGCAATCTATTTGTTTGGGACGACACAGCGGCGTCTGTGACGTTCACTCGTGCAGTACTGCAGGTCACCTGCCCCCCATGGCAATTTCCTGGGGCGTCTTCAGGGCGGTGGAGGGCACGTACTCATTATAGGGCAGGCCCCAGTTGAGGCTCGGCACCACCACCGGGCGCCTGTACACGGGGCGCGCGTAGGCCCAGCGGGGGCCGTTTGTTGGGCCCGTGCTAACGAAGGTCTGGACGGAGCTAGTGCCGCCAAACCCGCCGGCGAACCCGCCGCCGAATGCCACCTGCAGCAGCCCCCGCCCGCCCTGCGGCGCGGCGGGGGCGTCGGCGGCGGCGGCGTTGCCTGGGGCTATGCCTAAGGGGGGCGCCGGTTTCGTGGTGGCGGGTGTTGCGAGGAGGGGAGGGGGGCGGGTCGGCCGGCAGCTGTTGTGCGCGCAGCAGGCGGCTGGTGAGGGTGCAGGGTGTGGTCAGCAGTAGCGGTTCGTGCCACGGCGCACTTCGTCGGCTGCGCTCGTGCGCCACGACGTGCTGCTGTGCGAGCAGCCGGGTGGGGGGTTGGGGAGTGAGGTGGGAGGCGCTCACCCGAATGGGACGCCTCAAACAGCAGCCTGCGGTGAGCTGCAGCGGGCGCCGGGGCCAGCCCCGCGCTGCCGCCGGCGGGCGCCGCTTGAGCGCGGTGCGCGGCGGCGCCCAGGCAGCTGAAAGCGAGGATCATCAGCGCCGCAGCGCCCAGTGCACGGCGGGAGCCGCGGGCGGCGCGGGCCATAATCAGACCGAAAGCCGATCTGCAAGGTCACGGCGATGGCGTGCAGATGGTGTGGTGCGCAGCTTGCGCGGCCGGTCCGTCGTTTTGTTTCAGTATCTCTGTATAAGCTTGAGGCGACTGGCGGGGTTCGGGGGGTCCCCATCATTCCACTCACCCGTTGGCCACTCTGAAGGTCCGGACCCTGCCACCTGCGTGCGAGCTGCGCAGAAGCACCTTCAAACACCGGAAGCACGGAATGTTTACACCCAAACCAAACCTTACGTCGCACCCAAGGAGACCACAAATCGCAGCCTGGTCTTTCAACACGCGATCACTGTCGCCACACTGACGCGGCATACGGTGCCCGTGCCCGCCCCTTCCAGCTTCCCAATGTGGTCACGAACCTGGATTTTCGCGGCGCTGGTCGCATCACTGATGATTGTAGCTGCGGGGCAGCCCGTGGCTGCGGCGGCCGCGCCAGGTGCGCCAAGTGCCGCACTGCAGGGCGCGCCTCCAGCCAGAATCATGCTCACCGAAGTGGGGGCCAGCAGCCACCCAGCAAGCACCCATCCCGCCACACGCCTGCATGAGGCGCGTCCGCTGGCCGTCTGCCCCGTGCGGCTGGCGGCCGCCGCTGCAAAGCCGCCCTCCGGTCGGCCCCTGAGCCGCGCCGCTCGCAGGGGACACCAGCCACGCCGCCGCCTCCACCGCGCCCCCACTGCGCCCCGTCC